GAGAGAATATAGACCTCAGTCTTGACCTGCTGATGTCCATTCCAGTAAGAGACTCTCTAGTTATGTCATACATATTGTTTTTGGTATTAGAGATCTTGTCACAGAAGAACAGTCGCTCTTTCAACGCCCTTTGTTTTGAAGGTGTTTCCTCACTGGCCTCTGAGAAACCCCACAGAGAACATCAGACCGTGCTGCCTTCAACAGTCCCTTGCTCAGTCTTGTAGCTGCATTGTCACACAGCTTCCTCAGAGGATGTCCCATAAGAAATGCTTTGTGCATGCACAATACACATGTACAAACACACAACCAGACACAGCAAGGACCGCTGTGTGTACTGCAGTTTAATGGGTCAGGAAGTCACACCTCAGGAGAGTTGGTGTTAGTGCTTCAGTGTGGGGGTCCTGGTATTGTGCATGCTGCCTTACTGGGACACTTGAATAGAACAGAGCCATTGTTAATGTAATATCCAGTGCTTTTCCTACAGTGACACCTACAGTGACAAGTGATAATGTCTGCTCTGAAAAGACTTTGTTAATATCTGTCCTCAAATCTTCAAAATTTATATTCAAATGTCCAGAACTAAAATATTAAAAGAGCTTACTTTATATTTTCCAACATCTATCATTTAAGCCCATAATAACTGATTTCTGGGCCACTCGGGGTCAGATCAACAATATACCCATAGTGATGTGGCTAACGTGGATTATCACACATCCAGCAGACTTGAAGCAGCATGTACTGTATGTCCATTATTCACTCTCATATTACCTGTGTTTTGGTTTTCAGCAGCTTCTGGGGGAAATATCTGGCTCCACCACTGATAATCACTTCATTATGTTCACCAGCTTGCCTGTAAGATGGTCTGCTGTTTGGCACACAGTGGGTTTGTCAGAGCTCTTATGCTGAAAACAGCTGTCTACTGCATCTGCTACCGATGAGAGGGGCAAGAGTGAACCAGAACGGTAAAGGTGAAGGTCATAAAACCAAAACAATGAGCATAACAACACCAAAACATTTAATTAGGCTGAGGGGATCTACAAGGATGAGTTTGCTCAGGGTGTCAGGTTTGCTCGGCCGCTCTAGCCTCCCTCACCTTTCCTACTGTCTCTTGCCCATTAACACTAATCACGTTCACCTGTTCCTCACTCCCTTATCACCAGCTGCACTTGATTAGGTTGCTCACTATATTACCCGGTTTCACTCCTCAGTCACTTGCCAGTTCGTTCTAGTCTCTAGGCCATTTTTTCTCTGTGCTCTTTCGGTTTTTGTATGTATTTATCCCCTAGCCAGCTACTGTTTTGTGTTCCCCCCATGGACTGTTCCTCCAGACCGTGGCTCCACTCTCCCCTCCCAGGCAGGTCAATGCTCAGTCGCCTATCTGTTCCTCTATTGCCTTCATCTCTCTGTCTCCACCTTCAGTAGCCACCATCACCACCGACCAGCCCAGGAGTGACCCAGCCTACGCAGCTCGGCCCAGCTCTCCATCTCCTCACCTCCTACTGTTGGTCAAACACCCGGCTACTACTCATCGACAGGACTACGCACTATTTCCCTCTGTGCATTTTTACTCTCATCATCACTGTACATAATAAATCACTGCTTGCATCGAAGTCGGCTACCTGGGTCCGCCTCTTTCTCGTTCGCTCACTGACAGGTGCGAACGGCACATAACACAGGGTTTCTCACTACGAGCAGTTGCTTTCACATTACATCATGTGATCAGCTCATGACTTTCACTTCTTTTGCACATACCTGTGCCTTTGTTTTAATTTTGCCCAAAATGACTGGGAGAATAATCAGTCCTATTGTTTCTTAATGTAGATGTGCTAAATCTCTTTGATGCTAGCAGCTGACATGTACAGAAACGTCAACAGTGGTGATGAGAGCTGAGAGTGAAGGCCAGAAAACCAATGCATTAGGCCCTTTTCAAAGCAGGCATTTTGACTTGTCATAGTACAGCTGAGTTGACCTGACTTATCAGAGCACAGCTGATCTGTGTGTCTTCAGTGACATTTAGTATCTGTAGTGCTTTTGTGTTATGTGTACTGTACCTGAAGACTACAGTCTTTCACAGTGAATTTAACATGTTTGTAGATCTTTTGCATCTCTTTGTGGTAATTTGTTGTCTCTTTGTGATTGTTTTGTGTCTGTTGGAGCACATTTTGGATCTCCTTATGGTACATTTGTGTCTCTTTGTGGCTGTTATGGAACATTTTGCATGTCATTGTGGATGTTTTATGCCTATTTGTGGTCATTTTGCATCTCTTGTGGAAACTTTTCATCCCTTTGTAGTTGTTTAGTATTTTGTTCATTTGGTTTCTCTTTCTGAGATATGTTGCGGGTGAAGACTAGGTGACCGCTAGGCCTGCTCAGTAATCTGTCCATACCTGAACCACAGGTCTGTGCTTATGAACTGGTGACATTTTCCTGTCAGTAGTTTATTTAAACCTACCATGTACTATTAGCCTTGTGTTAGTTCTATTAAGTATAAATTGCTTAAAGGTATTGTCAGATTGTTCAGTCAGAACAAATCACTTCAGTCACCTTTAAAATAACTCTTTACAAACTTGAACCCAAACAGAATAAAAAAAGTCTCATCCAAACAAACTTTCCTTTAAGCTCTTTCTTCCTCTGACATTTCATGAGTCACTGCTGACTCCATTAGTGCACAGTAGATGCACAGTTTATCACAACTACCATTCATCACATCAATGAACCCTGTGCAGAGAAATAAGTGAAACCATCAGGAAGCAGTTGCTGCAGACCTGCCCCACATGAAAGGATGTGGTTGTGCTGTATGTCTCATAAAAAGCTTCTACCACATTCTCCTTACTCTTCAGTTTATTCTACATTTTATTATTTTGTAAGAAAGATTTCAAAAGAGCAGAGAGCAACACGCTGTCCACTGCAAAATATTCTTTTAGGAGACTCATTTATGAATGAGTAGTTATTGGTTTCTTTTAAAATCACTTCCAAGGTGTGTGTGTTTCTCTGTTGAGGTCTCAAATTGGCTGAATCTTTGGCTTGCCCTTGTGTAGGAGTCAAACTTATATCTTTAGCGCCCTCCAGAGGGATGAAGCTGTGTCAGGATTGAAGCGATGTCTCAAATAGCCAGTGAGATTTCATTACTTCGACCCATGTATAATCTTCTAAAATTGTGAAAGAATTGTTTTCAATATGTTCATTTTATAGAATTGTGGGTCATTTCAACATCAACATGTTAGACATAATTTTTATTTATTATATGCCCAATAAGATAAATATAGATTACAGATCAGGAAATATAAACAGTCAGTTGCAGTACCATTTACTTTCCACTAGAGGTCAGGGCAAAGAAACACAAGAGGCACAGCCAGTGAAATTATCACTGGAGTGTTGAAACCAAATGCTGTGAAAACATTTTTCAAAGTCTGATTGATTCAGATGTGCTCATTTTGTGAAGGAAAAGAAAATTTCTAAATTTCCCCCCATGAGCTATTTAATGTTCTCCAGCTTGACTGTGTAACTTCTTAATTGTAATAATAATAGCTCAAATAATAACTCGCGTGTGATGGCGGAGCATTTTTAATATGTAAATTAGCCAAAATTGATTGTTTTCCTTAAAGGCTAGAGCTTTTGACTTCTGACCACTAATTAGTTAAATGTTATCATTATATTTTATTTATTTTTATCAGATAATTCCCATCCACCACAATGCCCTGCTCATCTTTCATCCTCAAACATTTTATCTGAACTGTTACTATCACTTATTAATGATAAATATGCATCTTGTGCATATTATTTGAGACACAGATACAGAGTTGACCTCAGTTGTTGTGCAACCAAACACCAGAGCAGACGCTACCATTAGTAGTTTCAAACTGAGGAGCTGGCTCCCTCTAGAGTAATGTGTAGGTGAGAACATTATACAGTGTACCCACCTCACAAAGGTTTTGACTTACTGACTCACCTTTTTATGCTTCTTTCAGTCAGACAGCTTCTACAAGAATCAGTCCTCTCAAGATGACATCTAACCGTGCATTTAAGAAGCCAACAAGATCCTATCGCTGCCATAGTGTGAAGAATGTAAATATGTTACTTTAATTAAAATTGCTAACATAAACTTAAATAAAATGGTTAGACTTCTTGGCTTTTGTAGGTTGGTAGGTTTGTGTACTTTAATGTGTTTTAATTGAACTTTAATGTTTCACATGCAGTCACAGAATTTTAAGAAATGACAATATACACCTTTCTTTATCTTGTGCTGTAAAGGATTGTTTTCACTTTATATTAAATATTTTAGTATATTTAAAGCTACCGTATGTAACTTTTAAAAATATTTCTGTTGTAGAAATTTGTTACAGAACTTGTCTTAATGTGGAGAGGTGCTGCTGAAGCTTCCTGTGATCCAGACTCACTGAACAGCACCGGCAGCAGTGCAGAGATATCAGCTTCTAAAAGGTTTTGAGCAGGACTGACCTCTCTAACCAATCAGAGATTTTCAATTATTTCTGCTTGATCAGTAAATTCAGTTGCATTTTCATTTCTTGTAGTTTCATAATGACAAATATCTGAAGAGCTGGACAGCGTAGTGGAGCATAGCAGGTCATAGTGGAGCACAGTGGAGCAGGCACAGGGGAACGCTGGGCGGAGCAGAGTGGGTTGACTTGGAGTTTCGTGCTAGCGCTGCCTTAAGTTACATATTGTAGCTTTAATATCTTATAATTTTAGAGGCATCTATTTATCTCCCAACCCTAGCCATCATTAACACCAAGCTTTCACCTCAAGTGATGCTATAAAGAACTGAACAAAATTATTCTCACATTCCAAAAATATCATCAATGTTAAAGTCTAACTATCTAATTGGTCCTCACACAGATAGAGGGATAAGAGCACATACACACACTTATAATTATTATAATTATAATAGCAATAATATACTATTAGTATAATAGCAATACAACACTAATAATACTCCCAGACAACAGCAAAGTTCAACATTTAGTGTCTTTATAAAACAGATTTGCAAAATATAGCCAAGGCTCATTCATTTAAATATGCATAAATAGCAATAAAATACTTTCCCATTTCAATTCAAATAATGTTTGAACTTCTTTATACACAAATCAAATGTGAACATTTTATGAAAAATGAGGCAGACCCTCTTGATTTGTTGCAGCAGAAAATACACAAGCATACTGTAGAGCTAAAGCGGCAGTTTGATTAATCAGAAATACACATCCTATGAAGACACGTATTCATAAACATTAAAACAAAGTCTTATTCAAGTCTGTGAAATATCAAAGTACACATCTTTGGATGGATGCCTCAAAGTCTTTTAAGAGCTTTTTTTTTTTGTACATCAGCAGCCATGCAACCATAATTAACACCACCATGGCCAAACATTTGAGTCTATGTACAATAGTGCAGGTAAGGAGCTTAAATCAGAACAAGGCAGTGGAAGGATAACACATCATCACATATCCTGATTTATTAGACTTCAAGTGGGTTCCTTTTAGTTTTGAAATATCATTAAATAACCATGTTGAAGTGAAGCGTCCTTGCAGGACATGTGCTAGACCACAGCCAGTTGTAATCACACCATTTTAACTGGTCCCTAAACACAACTGTCCAAAATAAAACTGACTGTGAATTGTTTGGACGGAGGCTGGTTTATTTATTTTAATTGTTTTTTTTTTAGGTCAATTCTGTCGACTCGGCTTCCTTCTCATTATGAGACTGAACTATTTTTGTTTAGTAAATTGTTTTATTATTGTTGTATGTGTAATTATTCATTTTACATTCATCATAGTCACTAATTCCAAATTTGAATTATTAAATAGGTCGTAGAATTACATTTTAGAGGAATACTTTCCAGTACACCAGTCTCATTTTATCTCATCTGAGAACTTTATAAAATGTTGTACTTTTTCAATCAATAGTATTATAGACAAACTTGTAGATAAATAATGCAAATAGTATATATTCCAGCATTCTGATATGTTTTCCTCAGCAGTAATAAACTTCTGCCTTTTTAATAAATGCTATCAAAGAATTTGTAAACATTCACAGGGTTGAAACAATTTTTTAGCGTGACAGCGGTGAAATTATTTAATTGGACTGTATTTTTAAAGAAAAAGACAATCTCTTTTAACACTGACCAAATCGGTAGGCTTTGAAAGGTTCACTGATCTCACTCTTTCACTTTTTAAAGGGTGCTTTAGCTTCCTGGAGCAGAACAGATGCATGAATTAAAGAGATTTTCTTTCTTTTTCTTCTACTGCAGACCAGAGTTCATTTGGCCGGCTCAGGGATGGGTGGAGCACGCTCCAGTCTCATGGTCCAGGGGTCAGAGGTTGCAGCATAAAATGGAGAGTGGGTGAGCACATCTTCTCCAGCCAGGGTGAAGGCAAACACTCCCCTCTGCCTCCCTGCTCTTGCTTTCTCCTCCTCTGCAACATGCTTTCCCTCTACTCGCCGTTCCTCCCTTCCTGCACCGTCCACACTCTTAAATCCCAGAGCCCTGTTGCCAAGGCCGAGCATCTCACCTAGTCCTTGACTCTTGACTCCCTGGTATGCAGGACTTAACCCATTCTCCTCAAACTGGTTAGTGGCAGCAGCGGGAGGGCACAGGAAGTTGGTAGTGTGTGTGGACCGCCATGCAGCCGGCTTTCGTCCTCGTCTGGGACGGGAGATCCGGCAGCTTTGCCTTTTGATGTGTCGATGTAGGTGGTCAGACCGTGTGAAACTTTTGTAGCAGTGCTCACACTGGTACGGACGGACACCCGTGTGGATACGCAGGTGGTTCTTCAGATCGTAGTTGTGGACAAACTTGGAGTTGCAATGGAGACAGATGTAGGGGCGCTCACCCGTGTGCTTCCTCATGTGGATCTTGAGTTTGTCTTGTCTGAGAAAAGAACCAAAAACCACATTTTCATACAGCAGAAAGTTAACATATAAGTTTCTGCATTTCTTTGCCCTTTGTAGCAGAACTGACTGTGTATAAAAGCCAGTATTTAAAAATGATTTGACATAGCCTGATATATGGTGTTTCTGCTGACACACACTGTTCTGAAATAACAGGTGGAAAATGTGCCAAAGCAGGAGGATGTAAATGAGTGAGAGATCACTAATGTAAAGAAACCAGTGGAGGGGGTTTTCCACTTTAAGCTCTTTGATATTCAGATGAAGTGAAAACAGATTAACGTCAGTCAAAAGAGCATGGGGTACTTTTCCGTTAAACCTAGTTTTACATAACCTGGTGCTTTGTAGTCAACACGCACAGGAACATAAAGATCTCAAGATGATCTTTATGTGACTTGTAATTATGAAGCATTTCTAAAGAAGTACTGATGATGTTATAAGAAATTCTGCTTCACATACCTGGTAAATCGTACTTCACAGATAGTGCACATGTAGGGTTTCTCTCCTGTATGTGTCCTCATATGTCGTGGCAGTTTCCCAGCTCCCTGGATGACCTTGTTGCAGATAGGACACTGCTGCGAAGCTTTGGGCTTCATCTTCCTCTCCTCCTCCAGCTGCCAAGGAGGGAACAGTGCCCCCAGGTGGGAGGCAGAGCTCAGGAAGCTAAGGTATGACCGGAAGTCGGCTTCATCCTTAATGGGACCCAGAGCGTGACCTTCTGACGCCACTGACCCAGTGTTCATGGTGCTGCCCAGACCTGAGCTGACAAACTCCTTGAGGAAGTCTCCCTGGAGCAGACTGGATGGGACTTCCTCTTTCATCTCTTCCTTTATGATCTCTCTTTTCACAGCTAGATTGAGGGGCCTTGAAGCCTCAAGTGGAGCAGAGGTGGGGAAGGTGTGGGGGTGCCTGGCTTGTGGTGAGACTCCTGCATGAGGATGCTGATGGTGGCCAGGGTCTAGGAGCTGCTGCGGGAAGCCTGGGAACTCAGGAGCCCACATGGTGGGGTATATGCCTGGGAGGAAAGGAGAGAAGTTAGCCCTCCTGTCCAGTGATGACATACGGGGGTACAGCCCTTCCTGGAGAAGAGACTCGATGGAGAAATCCTTGAGAGCCCGACTCTCCATGCTCTCCTGCAACACAAGACAGCATCGTAAGCTTTTTGAATATAGGAGTTGTCATAATTTTTTTTACCTTGGAAATATAAGATTAGTAAGAAAATACATGAACTACAGGTATACCTGTTTCCCTCTCATGTTGTCTGGCGAGTGTGACTGGGATGACTCTCTGTGCTGGTCAAACTGCTGGTGGTATGTGGAGGTGCTAGGAGGCGGGGAATTCTCTGTCCCTGGAGGTGTCCGCTCCCCCCTGCTCTCCGACGACTGCAGTGACCTCTCGCTTATGTTGTCCTCCTCTTCTTCCTGCTCGTCCTTCCTTGACCCCACATCCTCCTCTTCATCCTCTTCTTCTTCTTCCTCCTCCTCTTCTTCCTCTGCATCCTCCTCTTCTTCTTCATCCTCTTCTCCCTCCTCCTCTCTCCCTCCTCCTCCTCTGCCATCTCCACCGCCACTGTCCATGATCTCCAGGCAAACATTAATGATGCAGGGAATCTCCAGCATCTGAGCTGCGTTCAAGATTTCTTTAACATTGGACGCAGTGACCGTCAGTGTGGAAGTGTAGGCAAACTCCAGGATGGCTGTTAGAGACTCTGGAGCTACAAAGTCGATTTCATAAATGGCCGCCGTGTGATGGTGATCTCCGCCGTCAGCGGTGGCCACTGTGAAGAGCTTCTTAAAGTATTGGCTACAGGCGGCCAGAATGGAGCGGTGGGTGCGGTACTCCTGGTCACGCACAATGAGGATGACATCGCAGAGCAGGCCATCACGACGCTGCTCATTGAGGCTGCATAGGACATCGCTGCTGTGATTTGGGAAAGGGATCCCGATCAGGTCCTCTTCTCTGTGTTGAACCATTCTCCTCACTGTCTTGATGGCGGCTGTCTAGATAGGAGGCAGTAACAAAGAACTGTTTAGTGACTTAAGAAAGGAAAAATGAAAAATGGTTCAACTCTGTGGAACCTATATTTTGCTCTCAAAAACTCTGTTGATCCCCAACACGTCCTAGTTTTAGGAACAATCTTTTACTATAAAATTCTTCCTCAGTTTGTGCCTCTCATGTAATGTAACACTTAGCAAAACATTCATCTTTGTTAAAAATGACCAATATTGTAATCTTTCAAAACACCACATGGTTGTTTGGCATTTTTCTTCAGCTTCAAGACTCTCACCTGTCTGGATCAAAAATGTCAAGTCTGCCACAGAATAGAGGAGAAGACATTTCCTGATTTGAGACTTTTTCTTAGTCCAAAAGAAGGTGATATATCCCCATGCTTATTTAGTACAGCACAAAAATATAAATGCTGTATTATGCAGTCAAAGATCACAGGAATATAGGTATTTGATAAGAAAACCTTTAAATGTTGGTTCATGTTATGTAGTTTGTTCGCTGGTCTCTCTTGTACAAGAGCTGTTGGTCCTAGTGAGACTTTCTGAGTAATTAAACCTTAACCAGCCAATTAACAGTGTGGTATGTCACAAGGGCACCATCTCAGTTTGGATTGCAAATTAGAGCCACAGGAAGAAGAAGAAGAAAAATACTACTTATTTAGCAGTGGGTAGGTAAACCCCCCCCCCCCCAACCACACACCCCCCCAAATAAAACTGAAAATTTTCAGTTTGATGTCCTGTTGTCATTTGATGATTGGTTATGTTAACTGTGACTACGACACAGAGAATGTTAATTCTTTGCTTCCTCAGCTGGACTCACACTGGCACCTCCCTTTGAAATGGAGTGACACTACAGCAGCATCCATTTATTAGGAAAGATTTTCCAAAAGTGTTTGAATTTGTATTTGAACAAAGGGAGACTCTTAACGGAAGCTGATATTGTTAACACAGTGAGTGACAGTCTAGCTTTATTAAAATATACTGTAAGCATACTTGCTAGTGTGCCATCTGTGCAGCAAAGGCAACAAGTGGTAAATACAGCATGTCTCATTTTGAGCAAACATCGCATCGGCTAATATTTATTCTTGAATGTGTTATCACAATTTTTTGGAGGACTGTGTATCAGCTGTGTGAGTTAGGGAAACCCATCATCTTGATAGAACAAAGAGTTTGACTTGAAAAGAGTTTGACAAATAAGCAATGAGGTTTTGATGATAACTGAGTTTCTGTGATGATGTTTGTAATGTCTGCCCCTCTTGTCTTTCTTTACCAGATATGAGTACAAGGCAAGCTGATACCTCCATTTGAGCAATACAGAGTGTGATTGGGATGTGGTGAGAGATGAAGAGAACAACAAAGGAGGTCAGATTGTTCTCTACATACTGTATCCTGTCAAAATGCTTACTTTGCAGTCTATCCTCTCCTCACTCAGTTAACTTACAGCACAGAGACTAAACACTCAGTAGAGCAGATATTGTGTCAATGCAAAGACAGATTTGTTCACTTCGTCTTCAAACTCATTACTGCCTGAGTTTATACCTGTTGAATCACTGTGCTGTTTTGTTTACAGTTACAGTGATAAAACATCCTCTGGCGGGGCGCTCTTTCATTCACATCTATGAATAGCCATCCACACTTGGTGGTCACTGGAGGCATGTGTAGATAAATACTTTGAAGTAGCTCTGCTCACCACAGCTACATTGTTGACTGGCTCTAAATGGGCCTGGGCTGAAGCCGCATAGACAGACACACACACACACACACACACACACAAGCATCTCACTTTCTCTTGCTGCAGCAGATCACACCAGAGGAGGAAAAAAAAACTATTTTAGAAACTCTCTTAGTTCACCTGCAGGTATACAGCTTGGATACCAATCTTACATGTAGTTTATTCTTGTCGACCTTGTTGCTAGGTAACTGTTGCTATGTTCTTGCCATTGATACAGTGTGGACATAATTAAAATGTCTATAGAGGGGGTAATGACATAGAATATAAGCCCAGAAACCTGTGCAACTACATGGAGGGGAAACTGGAACAAGTGAGCAACAGGGAAAGTTACAGTGACCAGACAAACTTACAAGATGATGTATTTAAAATAAAATGCATAAACTTAAAAGAGATTCTATTTGTATTGAATTTCAAGTTTTGAATATAGCACAAATGCTTTACTCTAAACCCTGGTAATGCCACACCAACACTAGTTTAAAACTTCTTTCACCGATTAAATAGAAAGAATAGGATGATATCCTTTTCCTATAATATTTCACACCACATGTAACATCCATCAAAGTAATTGCCTGGGTAAAAGGTGGGAGAATCTCTAGTGAAAGAACAAGGGAGAGATCAGATGGCCCTAAAAGTTCCCTAACAGGTTGCACAAACTTCAGCAGAGGGGCCCCTCCCTGTAACAGACTGCCAAGGTAAACAATAGTGCAGAGCTTGCAACAACACCGAGTGGATAAGGGGGAGAGAAAGGAGACTGATGTGGGGGAGGCTCAGTGAATCCACTGTCATTCTCTTGCTCTTGCACTCATCCCACCCACTCCTGAAACTGTGGGACACGTGCTGCTGTTGCTGTTTGTTCGTCCGGTACCCCATGGAGCACCGCTCCCCACTGTTCCCACTGTTTGCCTGCTACTAGCTAGTGCTAGCTTTTAGCGGCTGGCCCCTAATTACAATGTGGAGAGGATCTAAGGAGGATGTGCCACATAGACAGGGAGGGGAGGAGGGCACAGCTTTCCCACCACAAGGTCCTGGAGCAACATTTCATTAGCCAAACAGCCTTAACCCTTTACAAACATACATCTCCCCCCACCCATCAGTGCAGCCAGGGTGGGGATGCCTTGTGAAAGGGCTCTGATAATTGCTGTTTAAATCATTTGGCTCTTTATCCATCTCGCTCTTCTGGTAGAGTCATGGAAAGACAATCAGGCTTTAATAATAAAGCTGACTCAATATATGGTGTTCAGCCTGTAACAAACTGCCATTAGGTGACTCAAATTTTGAATAAATAAATGCTAAAAGTCACTGGGTGTAGTATCTACTGTATTTCTGTTTATCACACAAGTGTCAGTGAATGAATTGACTTAACAGGGATTTCAGTTCCATGTGTGATAGTACAGTAGCTCAATACCAACTTAATTATTAAACTGACCTGTACTGGGCAGTCTTGCCTTTCTTTTTGTCTGCTTCTCTCTCTGCCTGCCTGTACTGGCCACGTCTCCTCTCATGCCTCACTTAATCAGTAACACTTTCAACTCAGCACTCCCACCCAAAATTATGTGTCACCTCCATTCAGTGTCGTCTTTCTCCCGAGAACTTCATCTGCTTTCTGAGCTTTCACCACCACCAAGGTGGCTCTTCCTCCTCCTAATAATTCTCTTCTTCCTCCTCTCCTCCTCCTCCTCCTCTCTCTGTCCTTGTTGCAGCTGTATCATCATTATGCCCAGAGTAGAACAGCTAACTTGTCCCCAGCCCTGACCGCCCGGGCCACAAATCAGCAGCTAATGTCCATCTCAACCCTTGTCACGGGCAGACACTCATTTGGCCTGTAAGCTACAACACTCAAAGCCTAGTTTATCCCTGTCAGCCAGTGCATCCACCTGACCCACATGCTTAATCATCAGCAGCCAAAGTTTACCCCCTGTCACCAACTGCCCACAGCAAACACTTGCTAAACAACTGTCACAGCTGGACAATTGCACGGCCAATAATTTAAAGTATTGACAGCCACAATTCACCCCCTTATTAGGAGAAGACATTCATTTGACCTACTGTGTGAGCTAGTCCATTATCACCAGTAAAACACCAGTGCACCTGTTTCTTGAGGCGATTCTCCCTTGGTTGGTGTTTTAAGAGACAACTGTCTAGAGCCTATAAGCTGCGTATACAGAAAGTTTTAAAATTATATTTTAATTGCTGTCAATTACAGCAGGTGAGCAGTATATAATGCCAGGTACACAACATGGATTGTGTATTTATTTGTATTATGTCAGGGCCAAATCTGAGTGTTTATCTGCACAAGTTTGCTTAAAAATTGAGGAACTTAAGAACTTATTTATGTGAAATTCATGCAGAGTTTGGTGCACATTTATATCAGTCACACTGTTGCATAACAACTTGAGTTTAGGGAAATGTGCTACCAAATATAATTAATACAGACCTGTTTATACTAGTTGTTATTTGGTAGAACATTAGTTCAACCAATTTCCTAAATTCTTGCGGAAAAGCTCACGTTAAACAAGAAATTCTTGTTACTATGTTTCAACAGGTATACCAGTGAATTCAGCTGTAATTTTCTATTAATTGGAGTTACATTACAGTTTATGCCTTTCATTAATACTTAGTTTATATTCATTAGGAGAATGATAAAATGAAATAACTGGTCTTAAAAGATGTGGAGGTCAACTTAACTCCCTACACTCCCTACTGAGCCTGTTTACACCGAGTGTCATCTCTCGAGCCTTCGGGGCCCCATAGAGACACATTGTTATCTCCCTCACCCCCAAAGTAAACAAAAGTTTATGATTTGCTGGTGAATATCAGTTTACTGATTAAGAAGGTTTTCTGTTTGCCATGAAACAAAGACCAGGTTATTAATAATTCTCCACCAGCTATGTTTTTCTATTTCTCTGTTTGCTCAGGATAAAGCCCAATGGAATGAACAGAAGGATGCATTCACTGTTATAAGAAGATAAAGTAATATAAAAAATTTTTTTTTTACAATCCAAGATATTATTGCAGTTTAGACATCGTTAAAATTTTACTTTTTTTTTACATTCACAAACAAAGCCAAGAAAAAGGGGTCAGCTCAAATAAACATTACCGTAAGGCATAAAAATAAAAAAAAGTTCAAGAACAAAAGTTAAAACCCGTTACTGCTGGCAGGTAGAGGCGAAAAGGCAACCAGAGCTAAGGAGACATAAGTAGAGTTACAATATCAGTGTGACTGGTATGGCATTGATCTATAATGGTTTTCCTGTTATAGTTTGTGAGCCTGTTGAGAAGGCACACAACTTTGATACAACACGAAAATAAAGTATACTCCTATTTTTCCTAATTTTTACATGCAAAATAATCCTCTTACTTTGCTTCATATCCTGCATTTTTAAAAATAAGTATTTAAAATTTTCTGCTCATAATCTCTATAAAGGTTTTAACACCTGAATAAAAAACAACAGCTGGTAAACAATTCTATTGGTAATACTTGACATTGCATTTTGTAACTACATGAGGTAAGAGGTCTAAAAGCTCACTTGTTGTAAACAATAATTTACAGCTCAGCTTCAAATCCATAACATGTTTTTATTTTGCACACACTCCCAAACATCTCCTCTAACTTTATGAATTACCTAAGTCGTTAGTTTGGATTTAAAGGAGGATGTTGTACACTGTACAGTAGATATGGAATATCTAAGTATGAAATGTATAATTACTGGAGACAAAACACGTACTTAAGTCCACTAAAACTACCATGTTGACATCTCAAAGACATGCTGTGATACTCATGCTATTTCTAGTATTTTATAGCATAGTATTTACACCGCAGCCTAAATAATTACAAGAGTCATTAAGCGACTTTACTGACCTGTTTGCACCTTGTCAGGCCTTTATGATGCACAGCTACAACACTCATGTAAACTATAAGACGCACGTGCACACACTACCATAATGCAGAAGTGTGAAGTTGTTCACACATATACACAGTGACAAATTATTATGGACATATACGCACAGACACACACCCATGTGCATGCTCCAGAAGTCTGGCATCCAAATAAATTCACACATGTCTTGATACGTTCTCCAGCATTCCACAGCTCCCGGCAGCCTTCACCTAACGTACCTTCAGTTTCTCGATTCCCCTAACGTGTCTTTATATTTCCAGACTACCAAGAGGCTCTGTTGCTCCTCGCTTGACCTCTCAGCATTGCCCTCTTTAATTGAAACACCGCTGCCTCTCTCTCTGTCTAGTCTGTCAGTCAGTCAGTCAGTCCATTCACAAGCTCCTCACACCAGCCACGGATGTCCATTCAAAAAAAAAAAAAACACCCAGGGAGGAATATCCAATGGTCCAATGGAGAGAAGTAGAAGCAGCGCAACAGAGGAGAGCAGTGTGTTTCTTGGGTCTGTGTATCAGTGTGGCTAGTGTGGAGTTAGAGTCAGGCTCACTGTTGTGTGTAGCTCATGTAGGACGAGCGAGAGAGTGAGAGGAAGGGAGGGAGGGCAGCAGCACTGCGCTGTGGAGATGTCGCACCACTAGTTTTTATAGCAGGGTGGGTAGCTGGAAGATAATAATACCCCATCCTCCTCCACAACACAAGTTTAAGCGCAGTGTGTAATAAGCCCATGGCGCAGACACCCTCTGATTTAGGTCAAACAAAATGAATTTTTTTGTTGTGTTTGAGTGGATTTTGGTAAAAAGGGACTGGGTCAAAGAAACTTGAAGGGGTTGTTTGGGAAGACAAGGTAAAAAAAAAAGGAGAAAGGAGGAGAAAAGTTAAAAAAGTATTTTGTCCACCTGTGTTTGTTTGTTTGTTTTTGAGATGGGAAGAAGGAGAAATACAGCTGCAGCTTAAAGTCAGTTCATTTGAGCTGTACACCTGTTTTAAATGGAGTCATGCTAGTCTCTCCTTTCTTTTAAATGCTGTCGCACCCAAAAGTAAATTTTATAATAAAGCATTTAACCAGCTCTCTGAGAACTCTGCATGTGTCAGGTACTACGTGGTCAAAGCCAGGCGACAAAAAGTAAATGCTTTGTCACAAGAGACTAATTATTGACAGATATTTTGGCAAATGGTGCCCTGCGTTCAAAACCACACAGAGATGGCTGATTCAGGCAAAGGTATTAATCTAAAAGGAAATATCACATAAACGCTAACTGTGTTAGAATTAAGTCACAAACACAGTAAAATACCACATGCAGCTGTTTACAGACTTATTTACTTTTTTGTGAAAGCGTTTTTATGTAACTAGGTTTCAAAAAGCAGACTGAGAAGAGCAGAAGGCCAATGTTAAATTCCTGTTTTGAGTCAGAAAGCAGAAAAGCAGGGTAACAGTTAATGAGCACACCACCGCCTTAGTCTGTGGAGAGGAGGAGGAAGTTTACACAGAAAGGTGTAGAAATAAGAAACTGTAGAAGAAGAGGAACCAGGTTTGGTGTGAGTTTTGGGTAGATATACAACATCTAGAAAATGTGGAGAGGAGAGAGACAATTTTTCAAACCGTCATAGAAGCAAAAGTCAAAAGCACCAAGAAAAGCAGTTTCCTATGTTGTGTCAAAACTTGTGTGTGTTTGTGACATGGCATGAATCAGCCACAAAAATGGAGAAAGAGTATTTCTTTTGTTTTCATAGATAGGCCAAATGCTTTCCTGTATGACATCATGAAACCACACCTTTTGTGATACTTTTTTTTTATATTAAGCTTGCTTACAGTAGGAAGGCTTCAGCGAGGACTACCTTTTTCCCATGCAAACCTAAAAACACCAATCCAATCTTAGCAGTTTTCATTCATAAAGGTAGAATATGCAGTCAGCCATTGTTTTTTTTTTTTTGTGGTTTTCAAACCTTCAAATCTACTAAAATATTCCTTAACATCCATAAATTACAACTGACCATCATTCTGTGAAAGCAGTCAAATTGTAATGAGTTAACCTCCACAAACAAGTAGACATCAGAGTGTACATCAGGCTGCTATGCCCACTTCCAACTGGGGAAAACATGGACCAGAGAAAACCACATACCCTGGTGGTTTACACTGTTTTGTACAGGGTGAGAGCTGAGGCCAACTCACACTGGCATTTAGTATATATACACAGGGTTAGCCACTAACTGCTAGCAGGCCATTCAGACATCCAGAAAAACAACACTTCCCTTCCTATAAGATCAGGTAACTATTCTAAACATGTCGCTGCTGTCATAGCAACACACTGTAAGTGGTACCTGTGTGGACCGCTTTGTTCTTAACTCTCTAAAACTGCAGGTTGTTGTGCTGTAAAATGTCATAGACCATGACTGAGACAGAGGCAGAATTATTCTGTGAAAATGCTTGCAACATTTTTTATATTGTAATACAAGACTGAAATCAGTTTTACGTGTTGTAGCGTGTAGAATGTATCTTGATGCTTCATGTGTATGTAGTACAATCATCAGAATAAATATGAATTCCTTTCCTCCCACAGTCCTTCTCTAGTCTTAAGCTGCACCAAGAAGTGATGGATCTTGTCGCTCGGCCTGAGTGCTAACAGCCACAAAAGGAAGATTTTGGGGGCTGAGTAAGAGTGATCTGTCTTACTGTCTAGCGTCTCAGCGTACCTGTTTGCTGCCACCTGCTGCGCTCAGCAAGATGCACATACCAGGCCACCAGATTGGCATTTGGGTGGTGAAGCATCATTGCTTAAAGAAGATATCATGAGGCTGCAGACCGCTACCAAAAAATATCTTTC